CTCAGCATGGCCGGAGAAGCGGTGCGTCGGTGCGCGCCCGGGATCCGAACCCGGGCCGCCAGTAGCGGAGCGCGCGCACTTAACCGCTAAGCCACCGGGCCGGCCCTCTATTTTGTTTTTTTAAAGACAATTTTTTTAGGGCCGTTTTAGGTTCACGGCAAAATTGAGGGGAAGGCACAGAGTTCCCACACACGGTCATGCACTGCATCAGACGCTTGACACATCAACGACAGACCACACGTATGACGGTGGTCCCAGAGGACAGGTACCGGGGGCCCGGGTGTGCGGTAGGCTATACCGTCTAGGTGTGTGTCAGCACACCCTGTGACGTTCGCACAACAATGAGATTGCCTAACAATGCGTTTCTCAGAATGTGTCCCTGTCGTTAAGTGACATGTGACTATACCTCCCGTCCCCCCAGCCTCCCCCACCATACGCTTCCCCCCCGATGGTACACTGGTTACAACTGATGAAGCTTACTGACACGTCCTGACCACCCAGACACCACAGCTGACACTGGGGCTTCCTCTTGGGGTTGTGCGTTCTATGGGTTTGGACAAACGTATAACGAGGTTGGTGTCGTACAGAATTATTAGTTTCACTGCCCTAGAAATCCTCTGCTTACTGTTTTTTAAGGATCAAATTAACTAGCAGATTGTAGCTGACAATGTAAACATAAGGAAGAAGCAATACTTCTGCTCAGAAACAGTTTCTCTCTGCAGGAGCCCTCGGCTGGGCTGTCTCCTGTGTCTGTCTGTCTGAGACTCTCAGGGTCAGGGCTCAGACCACACTGGGGGCTCACTTCTGCAGGCACATGGCCAGCACGGCGCTGGAGGCTGTGGCCGCCTGCCGGTCTCACCCTGTCTGCCCAGCTCCTCTGTCAGACTCACAGGGCGATGCCTGCACACCTCAGGGGCAGGGCCGGGGGACGGGGATGAAGGCAGGGGCAGGCAGGCCGAGGCTCAACCACGCTGCTACCATGGACACTGTGCCCCAACCCAGGGATCCCACCTGGTCCCTCCGAGTCAGGCCAAATCCACAGGCCTGTAAGGGCCTCTGTGCCCACATGGCCGGGCTGGGCTCTACTTAGTGGCCCACCTGGGCTGGGCACTGGCACCCAACCCACCACTGTGAGCCAACACCAGAGTACTCACGTGAGCGTCCGGATGCACTTGGCCGAGTCCCGGATGTCCCACACCTTGATGTAGGAGGTGGACACAGAGAACACCAGTCCCGAGTGGCTGCAGTACTTGATGGAGACCACGTTGTTGGGGTGGCCCTTGAGGGCTGCGATTTCTTGCCCCGTAACCAAGTTCCACATCTTACAGCTGCGGTCTGGGAGGGACGGGGAGAGCCGTGGAGAGGGGGAGAGGTCAGTCACCAGGGGCCAGGAAATGCACGCTCCCTATACAGGGGCTGCCAAGGTTGGGGGACGTGGTCCAGAGACGTCTAGAGGAAGGAGCTCAGGTCTGACGGAGAGAAAGGCGTGCTCATGTGGCGTGCATGTGCACGTGAAAACTCAGGAGAGAGGCTGGTCCGCACTTTAGACCAGAGTTTCTCCAGCAAACTCCCCATAAACACCAGAGTTCTGTGAGCACTGCCAAGGGGTCCTGCGCCAAAATAAAATTCTTAAGCCTCTGGTGCCTGTTCCTACAACTGCTAATAGCTGACAAAATTGATGAACAGAAGGCGAGCAAATCTTATGGGGAAAACTTGGAATCAATCAACCACACTCAGATTGACAACCAACCCCTTCCCCCCGGGCAGGTGCATGTATACATTCTCTTTCTTCTATTAGCATGTCTACTGCAGAGCTGTTCTCTCTGCCTGTGGAGTTTCTGTGACTTGGTTGTTGTGACTAAATAATTGTGACTTGGTGGGGTCCTGCTGCTGAGAAGCAAGTGCTGGGGTGGATGTCGGGGGTGGCTTTGGGGGTCTGGGAGGAGCAGACAAGGTGGGGCCCCTCAGAAGCTTCCTGGAGTTTCTGCGGGAGGTTTGGAAGGAAGTGCCTGGAGCCACCAGATAAGGCACGAGGGAAGGCTTGGTCAGCCGGGGTGCCTGGGATGGGGAGCCTCGAGCCAAGGAGAGAGACACAAGACAAGGTCGTGAGCAAGCCGACCCCACATCCTCAACTCCTGCGCCGTTGTGTTCACATCTCCTTCATAGCCCACTCTGCAAAGGAAGCCAGGACGGGTGGGAGACCCTAACCCTACCTGGCCGTTCTGGGTTCCACCCACCTTTGGATCCTGTGAAGAGCAGCTCGTCCGTGGCATCCAGGCAGAGGATGGGCTTGGTGTGGCCCTCGGCCATGGAGACGCACTGCAGCGGAGCTGTCCGTGCACCCTTGGCTCCTCCAACGGGGGTGATGATGCCCCTTCCCGGGAGAGAGGGAGAGAGGGCGTGCCCGTCAGCCAGGGAGACCCGGCCAGGCTGAACGAGGCGCACGGTGAGAGGGGGACAGGGTGGAGAGGGGACCAGGGCCTGATGAAGGAGACTCCAGTCAAACGCCACCAAGGTCTGAGAGCCGGGAACAGGCTGGGCGGGCGGGGAGGGTCTATCTGTCAGCAGCCTGTCAGCCGCCATCCTGCACACATTCAGGGGAGCACGCCCGTGCTAGGCACAGCTGGAAGGAGCAGGGAACACGGGCTCTGCCCATGGGGAGTCCCATCTGATGCCTGCTTGACCAGATCCTGAGACACACGAGCACCCAGGCCCCAGCTGGGCAGGGCAGAGGCCCCAGGGCTGGAACGGCTCCCGCAGCAACCACGACTCCTCCATGCTGCTTCGGTTAGCCCAGGGTGAGGCAGGGGTGCAGAGAGGGAGGACGCTCAGGCTGTCACTCCCCAGGCACCCCGGTCCCACTATATCCATCTGCCAGTGGCTGCCTCTTGCGGCTGGCACCTCCCCAGCAGAGAGACTCCTACATGCACGTGTGCACATGCGCACGCCCCTACCCACGGGCCCTCGGACCAGCGTGGTCACTTCCAAAGGGCTACATCACTTCCGGGCCCCAGCTCAGCTCTGGGTAGAGATGTCTGGGCCCCTCTGGGGATGAGGCTGCATGGCCCTGGAGGAATGCCTCCTGCTCCAAGTAAACACTCTGGGAGAGGGAAGGAGGCTTATCCAGAGCGAGCAGAGTGAGGATTCTGCCACACCAGCCTCCTGGAGGCCTGAGGATGAAGATCTTTTGCTCAGTGAGGGTCTTTTGGAACAAGGTCCTGGCCAAGTTACTTGCAGGGCTGAAAATACGTCCTAGCTCTTTTCCAAAGAGAATGCTGCTCCTGACAGCAACACCGTAGCTGAGAGAGAGCCGAAATGACCAACGCCCCCCCGCCCCCTGCAGTGCATCTCATAGCCCCACGGACTCAGCCAGGCCCCCCTCGAGGATGGCCATCAGACAGGTGCAACTGCCAGCCAGGTGTGGCACACACATGAACAGTCCCCCGCCCCGCTGCCCCAGCTCCCCGCTCTGACACTAATTTGGGCCCTGCTGTGTAGCCGGAGGAGAAGCCCAAGACTGCTGTGGGAAGAACATCAGAAAGATAACCCTCCTCTTGAAAGAGACTGTGGGCTGGCAGCATCTTGTGGAGGCAAAGCTTTGCCACCTGCGGGAGGGGTCACAGAACCGTCAACACCCAGGGCGAGAGCTGTCGGGGGCTCAGCCCCACCAAACCCTAGGATGTGTTCCTTGCTGAGGGGTGCTGGGCTGGGCTGGCTGGGGGGGCTGGCCTCTGGTCATATCTGGGGGGAGGGGAGGTCTCCTGGCGCTCCTGGTCCATGTGCCAGGAGATGTGGGCAGGGGGCACTTCCCCTCTTGGAGCCAAGGTCTGAAGCATACACCCACTGGCACGAGCTGAGCAAGTCACCAGGACCCTGAGCATAGCCACCGACACCCTCCAAGGAGCAGCTGCCCAGCTGGTCCCTGCAGCTCCCAGGCCTTTCACAGGTTCTCCATCCCCCTCGGTAGACCTCAGCCCCAGCCGACCCCAGGCTCCCATGCTCCGCACTCCCGCCCAGGTGACCAGGAGAAGAGAACAGGGCCTGCCACCAGCAACCGCGCACCCCTCCCCAAGCCCCCAGCTCCAGCCGGCCCGGAGCGGTCAGAGGCCACGCAGCCGTCCTGAGAGGAGGAACCACGGGGCAGGAGGGGGTCTCAGGAGAGCCATGGGGGAGGAGGGGCAGGCGAGGGGAGGGGGTCGCATGCGGAGGACAGGGGTGTGCAGGCGGGACGGGCTGTGCAGCGGAGGTGGAGGAGAGAGGAGAGAGTGAGAGCTGGGAAGCAAACACGAGACCTTGTGTACCTCAGGACCTCCGACAAAGAGGAGTCGCTGTCATCAGACCTGGGAGGGCAGAAAATTAGCTGGATTAGGGGAAGAGAGGAAAACACACAGGGATGCAGAGGCGGCAGCAGCGGGAGGTCAGAGGGCGGGTTATTCTCTTCAAGGGAGCGGAGCGAGGCAGAGCAATGAGGGCGCTAGTGGACAGAAGGAGAGGAGGGGGATAGGCTGGCCTGGGAGCTGCGGACGCCCACAGGAGCAGGCCACCGGGGTCCCTCAGCTAACACGGTAGGAGCGAGGAGGGGGCCGGGGGAGGCGTGGGAGGGCCAGCCCACACTCTGGGGGACAGTTCGTGGGCCGTTTGCAGGTTCCAAGCTCTCCAGCTGCCCCATCGCAGAAGCTGGGGGCACCTGCCTACCCCAGCAATGCTCGTACCTGCCTGCAGCCAGAGGACGCCAGGCCACTCCTGCCCCTCCCTGGGAGCTGGCTTCTTCCGGCAATTCCTCAGGGACTGACATTTACAAAGCCCACTGTCCCCAGGGAGCCCACTGGGACCGTGCCTAGGAGCTGGCTCTGCACCATGTATGGGCCCCAAGGCCTAGACCACTGGACAGGACAAGGCCTGGAAGACCAGCAGGCTGGGAGGGCTGGAGTCCCACCCCAATCCTTCCCAAAAAGAGACCTGCCGATTGGAAAGACATGGAGGGGGTGCCCTGGTTGGCATGGGCCGGGCTTGGTACATTCCCCCCATGGGAGCTGAGCCAAGGTAGGTTTGGGGATCCCAGGACGGGCGTTTCTGTGGGGAGGCGCTGACGTCAGGCACCAGGCGCGAGGACTAGCACCTTCTGGCCCGGGCTCCCCTGAAGGATAGCACTGTCCCCGCTCAGGGTCGAGAAGCTTTCGGGAGCCAAGAGAGGAACACATGGAGGACGGGCGCCCCTTTCTCGAGGCAGCATCCCCCCGTTAGGAACACGTGCCGGCACGCATCAGAGCCCCGGGTTCTGGCCCAGCTCCGCCACTGTCTAGGTGAGTGTCCTTGGGCCCCTCTTGGAGCCTCACTTCCTCATCTGTAAAATGGGGAAGACAACTCTCATGGCTGATAATGTTCAAATGAATCACAGATGTGGAGGCAGGGTGCAGCGTGAGGGTGCCTTCTGAACGCACGGCCTTGCTGTCTACACCCATCATACTAGTGGTAGTTACAGCAGTCCAAGAGGAGCTGTGAATACAGGGTGAGCTGACCCTGCAGGCGGAGGTAAGTGGGGGTCTCTTTCTGCTAGGATAGTGTGCAAGGGCCCCGGGGACCTGTCTGAGCAACTGTGGTGGGAGGGGGCATGGCTGTAGCTGAAGGAAGGGGCTTCAGAGAAGAATCAAAGAATCCAACATCAGCAGGGGAGGATTCAGGGGGCAGTCCTGGGGGGCCCCCTGGGAGCCTGACTGCCCCGGCCCCCTACCCTGTGGCTTCCCTCCTGCCCTCTCCTGAGGTTCCAGCATACTTGGGGGACAGGAAGCGCCCACGGTCAGGACTGAAAGGGCAGAGAGGCCAGGAGAGGGGTGTTGGGGCCTCCTCTCTCAGAGGGACCCAAACAGCACGGCTCGGTCTGCCCGCTGTCCCAGCCCTGCCTGTGGCACCACCCGCAGGCCCCTTCCCCTCATCGTGCCCGCCCAGGCAGGCCTGTCTCTTACTTGTCCAGTGCTGAGCCCTGGCTCTGATTGCTGGTGAGACGAGAGAAGACGTTACGGTCACTGCGGGGCCGCGTGGGAGGGGACGAGGGGGGCGTGAATCCCACGTCCACGGACCTGGTGTGCAGGGTCAGAGGGCAGCACTGTTAGTGCCCACAGGCTCACACTTGCCATGCTCGCAGCACCACTTCTGGCTCGGCTGTAAGGCCCGCGGGGCAGGGATCCCAGAGCCAAACCCCCCATCAGCTCCCAGACAAGGCCCTTAAACAGCTCATCCTCCTCATTTGTGGATTCCATATTTGGGGATTCACCTACTCGTCAAAGTGCATTTGTAACCCCAAAATCAATGCTCGCAGTGCTCCCGTGATTCTTTGCAGACACAAACAGAGCAGCAAAAAATCTGAGTCCCCAAAAGCACACGATCCCCGCTGGAGTCAAAGGAGGTTTCACTCGCCTTCCTGCTCCAGCTCTCACAGCGTAAACAGGTGACTTTCGTGGTCTATTTAGTGTCACGTTTTTTGCATATCTGTACTTTTTGTTGGTGACCTCACTGTTTGAAACGGCCCTAAGCCTAGAGCTGAGGTGCTGTGTGGTGTTCCTGCGGGTAGGAAGGCCGTGACGTGCCTTATGGGGAAGATATGGGGGTGAGGTGAGCTTCGTTCAGGAGTGAGTTATAGGGCTGCTGGCCATGAGTTCAACGTGAATGAGTCAACGACATATATTAAATAAGGAGTCTTTAAGCACAAACACACTTGAGACAAGGTTCTATACTGATGGGTTGGTGACAATGTTGTGACCAGAGGCTCGTGGGAAATGAGCACTATATTCCTCTAAGAGCAGCAGGTCAGAGATCACGATGACAACAGAATGTAACTACCTTGGATAATGAGGATCAACAGCATCCACAGGGAAGAGCCTACATCCCCGCTGTACTGCCCCATTCCAACACCCCAAGGTCCCCCTCTTTGGGAAGCTGTCAGTAGTCGTCATGATGACTTTGGAGAGCCATCACGAGTTCACTGCATTTTCGGCATGTTCTCTCAGTGCCGGGGTGAGGTGACACCTGTGAGGCCCCAAGTGTATATGTATCCTTGCAACCCCCCCCACAACGAAGACCCCTCAGCAAGCCCCGGCATCTGCCCAGGCTTCAGGGAGGAGGAGGGGCTGGGAGCCTGAGCAAGTCCTCCCTCCCACCAGGCAGGTGGCAAGAGGTCCCCTTGAGTCCCTGTTCTTCCACTATTTAGCTGTGTGACCTGGGGGAGGCCACCAAACCTCTTTGAAAATTAAGTCCACGGACCAGATGACCAAAGAGGCATCCGGTGATTGGCCTCAGCTCTGTGGGGCCTGGCCCTGGGACCGGCTGGCCAGCTGGAGTTGCCCACCCTTCTGCAACCAGCTCTCCAGTTTTTCTTTAAACATCTCCATTCCTCTCACATGACAAGACCTTCAAAAGGGCTGCAGCCTCCCAAGGCCCCATGGTTGTGGACAGGGTGAAGCACGTGAGTACAATGACCAGTCCAAGCGGCTACGAGGCCACCAACATCGAGCACACATCACGTTTTTTAGCAGTAGGTGTGGCCACCCAGTTCAAGGTGCCGTGGAGACTGCGTTTCCTGAGCCCACACCTGACTGGGTGGGGAAGGGACCACGGGGGAAGCTGAACGACCTAGTCAGACTGGTCCAGATCAAACAGCGCCCATGATGATCTAGAGAGTGGAACATCACAGCGATTCAGGCTCCCCAGGACCAGACCATGGCGATTCTGGGGCAGGTTCCAGAATGTGCTCTTACCTAACGGGCTGTCCTCGGTCATACGACTTCCTTCGGGTCAGAGGGGATGTCTCCGTGCCTCGGGACTGCCGGGGGCTGGGAGAGAAGGGTCCAGTGAGGCCCAGACCCAGCTCCCCGCCCACCCTGCCCCCCACGCCTGGCTCCCTCCTTACAAGGTGCTCCCTCTGGTGGGCAGGCTGATGGTGCGTGAGACCTTGTCCCGGTAGAAGTGGTCTCGGATGGAGAGGCCTGCCCCGTCCTCCTTGATCTCGACGAGGGAGGCCAGGGACTTGGTGATGTTCTTGGTGGAGATGTCCAGTGGGGGACCCAGGCACTCAGCTGACACGGCCTTCATCTGGGCAGACAGCTTGGGCTCACCCTGGGGAAGGGAGGACTGGGGTGGACCAGTTGCCCAAACGGCATGGCACAGAAAGGGGGAGCCAACAGTTCTAACCAGGGGAAGGGTGCTGCCTTGGCCTAAGGTAGAGGAACCAGACATCACCCAGAGACCGTCTCTCAAGGCTTCTGGAGAATCTGAAAAAACAGAAATGTTTTTTCTGCTCTGTTGGAACCATGCAAACAGAATGTGCAGACTGAGCTCTTTGCCTCACCAGCCAATCACCAGTTTACCCCAAAACTATGCACAATTTGCTGGGCCTGGTCTGCAGTTTCCTCTCTTCTCTCTTGAATAAATCCTGTTTCTTGGTTCAGCCTAATAACTGATCCCTGGCTGGCAGGAAAACTCGCTCCTTGCTGCTCCCATCCTGTGGAACCAATCATCTGTCCGCAGAGTGACTAGAGGTCTAGACTCCGTCTTTGACTCAGAGCAGGAGGTAGAGTCTTGGGCGGGGAAGGGGACGCTGTTGAAAGCAGGGCCTGTGGCTACGGCTCCAGCCGTTTCTCCCACCCTCCGCCCACCTCAGAAGGAATGGGCTGCGACCGGTTACACACCGGGCACCTCCCAATTCCAGGCTAGATCCTTTCTGGACCTCCATCCCAGCTGGAGGCAACACTGAGTTGGGGCTGGGGCTGAGGGCAGAGCCGCAGGAAGGCAGGGACCAGGCCTGGGGAGGCTGGTCCTGCCGCAGCCTGCGGTCTGCCTTCTGACAGGGGCTCACCTTGAACTTGAAATCATCGTGGCTCGTGGAGCCTTTCATGGTGAACGACTGGGAGAAGCTAAGGAAGAAGCAGAGGGTGTTCAGGATCCTGACAGCCTGTGCTCTGGCTCTCTGGGACTTAGAGCTATGGGTCCCAAACAGTCCCCAAGTCCAGGCTCAGCCCTGGGGCCCTACAGCCACCCCTCAACCCCAGCCCCAGGGACCCGCTCCCACTGCCAACTTGGAAACTCACCTCCCCTCCGAGAACTCTGAGATCTCCTCATCTGTGCTGGCATAGCCATTCTCTGTAGGAGGGAGGGAGGGAGGGCACGAGGGTGAGAGGGGACGCCTTCCTCCCGCACCTTACCCACTGGGATCAGACCGGGCTTCTGGGGCAGTTCTGGGGAAGCAAGGGGCTCCCTAGGGGCTGGAACCAGGGAGCCTGGAGTTCCCAGGTGCTGCGGGGCCTCTGCCCGCACCCACCGTACCCTGCTGCACGTTGTAGAGGAGGGCCTGCAGCTCAGGGTGTGCCTCGGCCTTCTCGCGCAGGGCATCCAGGAGCAGGTGGTTCTGGGAGGAGCCCGCTATGTCGCTCTGCCTCAGCCGTCCCTCCAGCAGCCGGATCTGGGCCTCCTTCTGTGCCACCTGCAGCCCCTGGGGGCAGGGAGTGAGCCTGGGTTACCCTCTCCAGCCTGGGGCTGCGGGCACTCCCATCACTGCTCTGACACCTGCTCCCAACAAGCCACCTGAGAGGGCAACCGCTAACTCCAGACATCACCCCTGTGCCTGTCCCCGACCTGAGATGCACCCCAGCCTCATATACACATGTCAGGGGAGTCGCCTTAGGACACACTCAGTTATGGATTGAATTGTGTTCTCCCCAAATTTATATGTTGACACTGTAACACCCAGGACCTCAGAATGTGACTGTATTTGGAGACAAGGCCTTTAGAGGGGTACTTAAGCTAAAATGGGGTCTTTAGGGCAGGCCCTAATCTGTATGACTGGTGTCCCTATAAGAAGAGGAGATTAGGACACAGACACAGCGGGAAGACCACAGGAAGGGAGAAGGCACCGTCGACAAGCCAAGGAGAGAGGCCTCAGGAGAAACCAACCCTGCGGACACCTTGATCTCAGACCCAGCCTCCAGAGCCGCGAGAGAATAAATCTCTGTTGTTTAGGCCACCAGCCTGTGGCACTTTGCTATGGCAGCGCTGGCAGACTGACACTTTCCCCGAAGACACAAAGCAGAGCTGAGAGCTCACTGGGGACCCGGCGAGGAGACAAGGAGGGCTGTCTCTCTGCCCTCCTCCAGAGTCACTGCATGCACGCAATGCAGCTTCTGTCCCCAAGGCCACAGGCTCTAGGACGAAGGAGACATGTCCTCCTCTGGTCCTCTGGCCAGCTCTCTGTCAGGGAGGGAGGAGAGGAGCACAGGACACACCAAGGGACACCTGATGTTCTAGCGCAAACCCTCCTGGGTGGAATGCGGGCCGTCTGTTTGTCTGTCTCCTGCTGCCCCACCCCAAACACACGCACACTTCTCCCTCCACCTCCAGCAGACTCAAGCCCAGCCCTGCTGCGGACGGGCCTGCGCCAGCACAGAGGTCACCTCTAACGAGGCCACGCCACACCCCTTGCATGTGTCATCTTGTTAAAGCCATGAGCTTGGTGTGGTCACCACCCTTGCTTTACAGCCTTGGAACCAGAGGCTGGGAAGGGAGGCAGCTGCCCTGGCCTGTAAGTGAGGCAGGTCACGAGGAGCCAGGCCTGCGGGCATCACCACGACGGCAGATCAGAGAGACACCGGAGCCCAGGGCCCGCCCAAGAGGTGAGCTGCTGGCCTACCTTGTCAATGGACGCCTTGAGGAAGTTGTCCAGCAGGAGGCGGGCCTCAGCCAGGGAGCAGGAGCTGATGACCACTGATGTGTCCGTGGAGTCCAGCTCCTCCTAGGACCGGGAGGCAGATACCCCTCGTCACCCAGGACTGCTGCTGCCACGACCCATGCATCCCCCCCCCGCCTCCACCCGGCTGGCACCTTGGTCTCCTCCAGCTGCACGATGGTGGCCTGGCAGTCGGTGATGCTGTCGTTGATGTAGTCGATGTTGGCCGCCAGCACCTCGATCTCCTCAGCCAGCTCCTGCAGCCCCTTCTCCTCCTCCGGGCTCTCGGCCTGCAGCCGCTCCCGCTTCCTCCGAAGGGCCTCCTGCAGGAGGAACAGCTCCTCCCTTTTCTGTGGGGGGAGAGACGGAGGTGAGGCCTCAGGCTGCTGCCCAGCCCTGCCCGCAGCTCCCCCAGCACCTCTGGATCCCAGAGCAGGCACAAGGAGCAGGGGGACAGGGGACGAGCAGAGGCCCCGAGAGCGAGAGAAGTCAGCAGCGACAGCGGGCAGGCGGAGGAGAGCAGATGGGCGGGAGGGAAGGCAGCGGCCCAGCTCCTCCAGGACCAGGCCCCACCTTGATGAGCCGCTCCATGTCTGCCTCCAGGTTGACAATGGTCATCCTCTGCATGACGATGTCGACGATCCGCCGCTCCAGGGACTGCCACTTGAGCCTCGCAGCCTGACTGAAGCTCTGGCCGGCCCCCTTCTTCTGGAACTTCTTTCTGGGAGTCACAGGCAAAGGGGATTGGAAAGGACCGCTCTCAACCTCTGCACCCCTGTGAAGCCCCTACCCAGAGCTGACAGCTATGGGGACCTATCACAGGGCCACCTCCCCAGAGCTTGCCTCTTCCTGGTCCTGCCCCTACATTTCTACCCCCTCTGCCCGCACAGGCCAGGGTACCACCCATCCACCTTACCTGGCCGGGCGGGTGCCACTGACAGTAGGTGCGGGGTGGTCCCCCAAGAAGTGGTTGATTTTGCGGTTCCACTGGCGCACGATGCTGGAGACGGAGCGGGCCCCTGATTCAGCCTCAGATGAGGTGGTACTGGCCGACACCTCAGCCCCCGAGTCCAGCATGGGTGGCTTCAGTCCTACACGCCCTGCCACCCGCTCAGACATGGGCTTGGCCAGGCGCCTCAGGGCAGAAACCTGGGGGCCGAGAAAAGAGGGACCTGGTGAGCAGGGTACCCTGAAGCCCACGAAAAGGCCCAGACTGGGGGGTACACGCAGGGAGAAATCAGGGGCTGCTTTGTCCTGGCCTGGGCTTAGGACAGAGAAAGGGCCAAGGGCGTCTGTCTGATGCAAAATGAACACAAAAGAGACTTCCACTTTTTTTAAAATTAACATCTCAGGCATTTAGGAGCAGAACCTGTAACCCGCCCTCCAGCCTCAGCTCGCTTGCTGAGAAAGGCCCTGCTAACAGGCCTCACACAAGGTCTGCAAGATCGTGTTTGGTGAGTGGAAGAAGGGGGAGCCACGGGGGAACCGTCCCCCTCCCCTGTCCCTTCCTGTCCCTCTAGCCCTGGCAGAACTCTGGAGAACGCAGCAACGCAAACGCAGGGGAAGGGGCCTCACTCACCTCCTGGGTTTTCCTTCTCAGGACCATCTCCTGCTGTCGCTTCTGCGACTCCAGAGCTCGGATCTGAAACTGAGAGAAGCGGGGCAGGGACCACACTTAGGCACCACGTCTGGCCTGCCTGGGCTGGGACCGGGAAGGTCTGCCCAGCTCTGTAGGCGAAGCTGGGTTTCGGGGTGATTCTTGTGCAGCCAAAACTTGCTGATAAAACGGGATCTGGAGTTTATCTCCCTTTCCCAGAGGTCACCATGCAGGCCCCTGTGTCTGCAAAGGCAAGTCCCCGGCCTCTCCTCCCCACCGTGGGCGAGGGATCCTGGACTAGCTGGCTTGGCCCTGCTGGGGCTTTCCTGCTGGGCTGGAGGCTGCACATTTCTGGCTCTGGCTTGTGGGTGAACTTGGGCCAGTTCCTGCCCCTCTCTGGGGCTTGCGTCCCTCCCCTGGACAACACAGGGGCTGGACCAGAAGCCTGCAGGGCCAGCCCTCTGTGACACGCGGTGCTCTGCTCCAAGCATGACCTTTCCCACTCATGGTGGCAAGAGCTGAGGCCACGTGGTGGGAGGGGCGGCCGGCACCCGGGGAGGCTGGGAGATCCCCAAAGGCTGCCCTCACCTCCTGCCGCCGCTGCTCCTTCCTGAGCTGGGCGATCTCCCGGTTCCTCTTGGTCTCCACCAGCCGGCGTCGCTGCTGCTCCTCCCGCATCTGCTTCATCAGGGCCACCTGGGATGGGGAGAGGCGGCGTGAGGCAGGCCGGACACGAGGCGGCCCACGCCCTCCAGGGAGAGGCCAGCTCTCAGGACACTGGGCAGGCTGGTCGCCTGCCGGGCAGCACTGGCTCGGGGCACGGGGTTCGGAACGAGGGGCCCGTCCCGCACTCCTCTGTAGGAGTTGCAACTGCCCCACCATCTGGCAACCTGCTGAAAGGCATGGCCAGCCCAGCCGTGCAAGTGTAACCACTCTGCAAGGTCCAGCTGGCCCCCACTGCTCCCAACGTCACCGCCCCTGGTGGCCCTCAGCCAGAGCCACTGTCCCGGGCCTGGCCATTCCAGGAGCAGCCCGGGTTGCCGAAGGCAAGTAGTCCCACCTGGACGGGGCACTTTCCTCTCTCCCGCCCTCAGCTGTGCTGCCCGCAGGGCTGAGAGGGTTGGGGGCCGATTTCAGGGCCAGGCTCACAGTGACAACAATAAAGCCCAGCGTCATTTACGGAAACCACGCTGTAAGCCAGGCCCGGTTCTTGTGACTGTCACGTGAGAGGCGTTATCACTCCCATTTCATAAACAAGGAAACGAGCCTCAGAGAGACAAAAGTGACCTAAAGTCACAAAACCAGTCAGGAATGGCCAGACTTCTGGCCTAGGTCATTTTGCCTCCAAAATCCAGCTCTCACTACAGCCCCAGGATGGCCCCATGGCAGCTCAGAGCAAAGCCAGCAACCAGAGAGAGAGCCTGGACCCCAGAGTGCTCGGAGGCCCGGCCAAAGGCACAGAGCATCGTGAGTGTGGCCAGAGATGACCCAGCATGAAGGACAGCCACGCCTTCAGGCCTTGAGGCATCTGCCGCCACCCCACAGCTCCGGTGCCCAAAGCACGAGGGCAATGCACATGGGGCTTCAGGTGCCTTCCGAGGGGCTGGGGCCTGAGAGTGAGGTGCAGGTTCATCCTTCCTCTGCCACTGAGGCCTCAGACAACACGAGGAATGTCACCAGACTGCCCTGTCCTGAGACAGTTGGAAGAGGAAACGGCAGGGCGGGAGGCAGGCTCTGTGGGGTGGGTCCACAGGGAGGAGGAGGGCTCACTGCTGCGGCCGGGTCTCTGGGGGCCAGAGTGAGCCTTCTCCCCAAGGCCTGGGACTGGCCACCCCACGCCCTGACTGAAGTGGACCTGAAGACCCTGAACCAGAAGCTGTGTGCAAACCCCAGAGGTCAGTGTCTTCTGGGGTCAGGGGTCGAGGCCTCCTGTGCCTTCCTGGACAAAGCCCCATCTGCCCAGCTCTGCATGTGTGGCCGAGCCCCGTGGAGGTCATTGCAGGGGTGAGGGCCTCAGAATGGGTGGCACATTCCAGGCACAGGACGGTGCTGAAATGGACACAGCAGCCAAGACCAGCATTATTCTGCAGGTGTGATGTAGTAGGCAGTGGCCCATCTCCTGAGGAGACCCTGGTGACGGAGGGCCCCACCCCAGTTTCATTCTGTAATCGTTGGGCCCGGCAGCTGACCTGCAGGGGAGGGTCCTCGGGCAATGGCTCTCACGGTGTCTGGTTAGAATCCCTCGCTGCTGCACCCTCTGTCCTCCCAACAGAAGCCGGGGGCCCCTGCTGGGTACCCCCAGGATGGCCTGGGCTGCTCTTTCCAACCTCTGGCCTGGGCTCACAAAGTGCTGTTAGAGGGCAGAGCTTGCACCTGGCTGAGGGCCCAGCCATCCTGAGCTGGAAACCCAGGAACATGCACAGATCCTCTGTCCTTCAAATATATCTGGCGCATTATGTCATTTTTCCAGGCTTCAGAGCCGTGGGAGGGTCCTCCATCACAAGGCTCCACAGCAGGGCCGCCCCGCTGAGACGGGAGCCAGCCAGGACAGGCTGGGGCTGCCTGCAGAGGCACCAGCAGGGAACCTCAGGGAGATGGAGTGAGGACGCAGACAAGACCCCCCAGAACTGCTCCCGGAGCTGCTGCAGGATCGCATCCCCATGGGTGTGCTGCTCCACCAGGAAACCAAGACCCCCGGGCCCTCCCCCCACCTGACCAGGGGGCACTGGGATCCAAGCTCCTCCAACTTCATCTTGGAGCCTCCGTCTCAACACCCCACACGGTGGAAGCACTGAAGTAGGAGAAAATGGGGCTCCCTGGGGCCAGCCCAGAACAGGCTGGTCTGAGTACAGCACCCTGGTCAGGCCGACAGAGCCCTTGGACGTGTGGCCCAGGCTCGGCTGGAGACAGAGCCAGCCCAGGAATGGAGACTGAGCCTAACTGACGGCTGAGCGTCCCTTCCTCTCAGAGACTGCACCACCATCACTGCCTTGCCTCTCTCCTCTGCACACTGGTCAGCCAGCCGGCGTGGATGCAGTGACTGATGGCTGCCAGGTCCACACCCCTGTCCCACCTGCCTCAAGCACCGGGTGCTCCCCTCTGGTGCCCGTTTCCGAGACCAGCCCTCCACAGCTTGCTGGGCCTGGCCCAGGGCTGGCGAGCTGGGGTTCCCCAGGGGCTGAGGGCCAGGGCAGGAGAGCAGGACCAGGAAGGCCTGGGGGAGGGAGGACATAAAGGGAGCAGGGATCTGCCCGGCCCCAGGCAGCAACGAGAACACACCCAGACACGGAGGCAGAAGAGCCCAGCCCAGAAGGCAGAACCTCGGGGGCCGGCCCCAGGCCCCAGAGACGAGAGTACCCTGAGGATGGCAAAGTAGGAGAGGGAGGCACGTGCCACATGGAACACATACCAGCGTGGGAGGCAGAGAACTGAGCCCGCGTCCCAGCACTAGCCCTCGGTGCTGGAATTAACTTCTCCGAGCCCCACTCACCCAGGCCCAAACGGGAATAACAACAGGACTTCTCTCTTGAGGTTCTCCTCAGGGCTGAATGTGGTCGCACGTGTTAGGCGACCAGCCTGGAGCCTGGCCACAGCGAGCACTCCGACAGTGTCACTGTTGTTATCATCACTGGCAGCCTGCCCCAGTGAGAGGCCTCACATAGACTCCGTGCAGCCTGGAGGCAAGGGCAGTGGAGACGCCCACCACAGGGACGGCGTGAAGCGGGGTCCCTGGAGCCCCTCGCCTGCCTCCCCACACCTGGCTAAGAGGACAGTGTCCTGGACAACACTGTGTGCCCAGAGGATTGTCCACACAGACAGTAATGATCATTTCTAACACGGTGAGTGGGTTCTAAGACGCCGGCCCTTGGCCCCCGAGGCCGCCCCGCCCTACCTTGGCCCTCTTCATCTCGGCCACCTCGGCCTGCAGCTTCTTCAGCTCCCTCTCGTAGCGCGACTGGTTCTTGAGCAGCCGGGCGTGCTCCTTCTGCGCGGCCTGCAGCTTCTGCAGGTCCCGGTTCATGTCCCGCAGCCTCTTCTCGTAGTCCGCCCTGATCTTGTTGGCCTTCTCCTCCGTGTAGCACTCCATGGTGCCTGAGAGCACAGGAGGGGCTGTCAGCGCCGTCCCCGCGTGTCCCCGTCAGCTGCGGGCTGGGACGGGGAGGCCGGGGCTCCAGCCTCATTGCGTGACCTTGGGGGTCACACCCCTCCGTGCGCCCGTCTCTTCCTCTAAACAACGAGGGCATCAGACTAGGAGACGCTCAAGGCCCCTCCCCGCCCCAACATTCTCTCGGTCCTGAGGGGGTGTTTCCCCTTGAGGTCTCTGACCCCTGGTCACCAGCTTTCTGTGAGGGTCCTGAGGGCCACTCATGCTGGCGCAGTTCCGACCCACGATTGAAAGAAAGGGCTGGGGCCGGTGGGAAGGGGGAGAGTTAGCAGAAGACAGAGCGATGAGGACCAGGCAGAAGAACGCATTATTCTCCACCTTGACCTTTCCCACCTGAACTGCCAACAGAGATCTCCACATGGAAGTTTCCCAGACATCTCAGACTGGACAGCTACGAACCCGACTCCCAATCTCCCCACCCAACAGTCCTCCTCGTCCCAGAGAGTATCATTACCATCCTTCCAGAAGCTCTGGAGACAGCCTTGGCTCCCCTCTCCTGATGCTCCCACCCAAGCAACCAGCCAGGCCTTTTGTCTCTACCTCCAAGATACATCCATCCACCTGGCGACACCTCCCACCCCACCCCCACCCCGTCATCTTCCACCTGGCTCTTCCTAACAACTTCCTAACAGGTCTGAAGCCTCCACTTCCACCCCCACACAGCAGTCAAAGGGGCCTTTTTTTTTTTTTTTTAAAGATTTTGTTTATTTTATTTTTTCCCCCCAAAGCCCCAGTGGATAGTTGTGTGTCGTAGCTGCACATCCTTCTAGCTGCTGCATGTGGGACTCGGCCCCAGGATGAACGGAGAAGCGGTGCCTCGATGCGCACCCGGGATCCGAACCTGGGCCACCAGCATCGCAGCGCGCGCACTTAACCACCAAGCCACAGGGCCGGCCAAAGGGGCCTTTTGAAAATGCTTTTAAAATTTGCACCATGTCCCTCTCTCAAAACTCCGCATCTTCCCACCTCCCTCTGCAAATAAGCAATGTGCTTAAAATAACTGACATGGCCTGATCTCATCTCTGGCCGCTGTCCCCTCTTACTGTGCTCTAGCCGTCTGGCCTCCTGGTCACTCTGCCCACAGGCCAGGCACACGCCCGCCTCAGGGATTGGCATCTTCTGTTCCCTCTGCCTGGACTGTTCTTCTGGGTGCTCATTCTGCTCGAGCACTATGTCACCTCCTTCAAGTCTGCTCAGATGCCACCTTCTCAGTGGAGTCTTCCATGACCATCTTTTAAAACGCCAACCCAACCCCGGCATGCCCTGCCTCCTCCCCAGCTGTATTTTTTCCATAACACTTATCACCATCTCATGCTACAGATCCTGCTTGTTTATCTTATTAATGTCTGTCTCTCCACCAGAATGTACACGCCGTGATGGCAGGGTCTGCTCATTCCAGTATCTCCAGCACCTCGAATAATGTCTGTGCTGTAAGACGTAGCCCACAGATGTTTGCTGAGTAAGTGATGAATGAACGAATGAGTAATTGCATCAACAGGCTGAAGAGCAGTGTAAGGAGATGGAATGTGAGAAGGAGGTTTGTCAGTAGGTTCAAAGAAAGATACTCAAGGAGCTGAATGCGGAAAAAGGCTGAGGAGTGTCATGTGCACATGCCTGGGGATAGAAACGATTCTAATACTTAAGACGATGGTAAAAAATAATAATTTAAAATGTAGCATAGGAACGAGGGTGAGACATAACTTTCCGATTGTAGGTCAAAGGGCCACAGTTCAGGGGTCAGAAGCCCTGCCCAGAAGACCAGGTAAGTCCCAGAGGTGCCAGCCGCAGGGGAGGGGCCCCAGGGAAGCGAGGGTCCGGGGGGCTGGGGGGCGGGCGCCAGCTCACTGAGGTTCTGCAGCACGCGGTCGCGCTCCAGCTGCGTGTCCCGGATCTTGTTCTGCAGCAGAATCAGCTTCTCCTCATACTGGTGCTTCAGGGTCTGCAGCCGCCGCTGGCTGTTCTCCAGCTCGTCGATCAGCTTCTGCTTGATCTCGATCTCGCACGTCAGGTCGGCCAGGTCAGCCTGGTAGTTCACCTCTGGGGGCAGAGACAGGCTTGACCCAGCACTAGGGGCGAGGGGGGAGGCGCAGGGCCAGGGGCCTTCCTTTGGTCAGCCAGGACCAGTGACCAGAGGCTAGGGGAAATGATAAATCCCACAGCAGGTAAGTGCCGTCAGATGGGGCGACACATTGAAAGAGCAGCCCAGAAACGTCAGGCTGGGCTGGGAGCCTGTGGGGTCAAGGCATCCCCTGCTGGGCCCCAGAGGCCAACGTGCACCTGTCGTAGTTGACACAGGACTACTTGGGTGGAGGAGGGAGGGGGCAAGGATGGAGAGCACCTCACAGGGCTCTGGGTCAGAGACGGCGCAGGGCGGAGCTGATGGGGCAGGGGTCCTATTTGAGGAGTGGGCTTCGGCAGCAGCCCGGTCTCCACTGAAGGCCAGCTCTGATCCACCACACTAGGGGGAGTCACTACACCCCTCTGGGCTTCTGCAGCAGTGACCCAGGGCGAGCTCCTAACAGGGCTCCGTGCACAGGGCCGCTGCGACGGCTGACAGAACCAGGCCACGGAAAGGGCCAAGCTCAGCACAGGCCCGGCATGCAAGGAGCACTCAGTTGGGTTTGCTGCCATCATTATCATTACTGCTGCTGTTGTTGTTACTGGCTTCACATCTGGGAGTTCTGGGCTCTGGACAACCTCTATCTTTGTGAACTCAAGCAGGGGCCAACCCCACCCCCGGAGCATCCGGCTCAGGGTCTCGCATCCAGGTCTGCCCCGAGCAGTTTCTCTGGGCCCAGCGCTGACCGGCAGCCTCGTACCCGGGCACCGGCCACCTGGCGTCTTACCTGCCCCAGCCCCGGCCCCCAGCCTGGCGCACCCACCCTTCTCCTCGGGGTCTGAGTCCGAGTCCACTAGGCTCTCCTCACTGCCCGAGTCCTCATCTTCATCCTCACGCCCCTCCTCCTCCTCACAGCCACTCTCGTCTCGCTCTTCTTCCTCCTGGGCACGGAGCACCATTAGGGGTGGGCCGGCGGCCCCTCCGCACTCAGGCTGGGCCTGGCTTCAGGAGGGGGAGCCCAGAAGCAGAGGCCTTGTGTGTGTCGGGAGGGTGGGGAATGGGGTGGGCTGCCATCGGGGCCCCTTGTGCCCACCCCCACCTCCCACACAGCCTGGGCAGAGCCCCTCGGGGACGGCTCCCTCTCTGCATCACCCACTTGGGATGGAGCTCACCATGGCAACCAGTCAGAGACACTAGGAGGCCTAGGCTCACCTGGAGGCAGACGGGGCCCCTCCCCTCCCTGCACGGGGACGTTGAGGGGCCCCCACCCCAGCAGGGACATAGGACAGGCATAAGTGGCGGGCAGGCCCACCTCCTCGGCCTCGGCCTCGGCCTCGTCGGTCTCCTCACTGTTTTCCTGCTGGAGTTTCGCCCTCTTTTTGAAGGCTTCTTTCTCTGGGCTGCCCAGGAGCGAAGGGTGGGCCAGGTTAGGGGGCTGAGCCGCCTTGAGCTTGTGGGTGGGGGTGGGAGGGAATGTCTCATCCAGAGTGCACGGGACGGGGCTGGGCTCCTGCTCTGCAGAGAATGGGTCTCTGCTTGAGCCCCCAGCCCAGAACTAACCCTGGGTAGCCTCCACGCTCCCTCTCCTCGGGGAAAGCACAGCATTAGGGAGAGCTGGGGGCTTCTGCCCCAAAGGCTGAGCAAGTTTGCTCAGTGAGTTCCCAGGTGACCCGGGGCGGCCCCTCCGGAACACAGGCAGCAGGTCCCCCTCCTGGGGGCCGCCCCGTGAGAGCCCGGGGGGAGGGCTCTCCGGGGAGGTGGCTGGCACTCCACTCACCTCTTTCTCCGCTGCCTGACCTCCTTCTTCTTGAGCCGCTCCAGGTCCTGCTTGGCCCTGCGGATCACCTCGGAGGCGTCCTCCATGCAGCTGGCAGGGCTGCCCCCAAAAGCCGGAGCAGCCGGAGACGCACCCAGGGAGTAAGGGCTCCGAGCCGAGGCCCGAGAGAGGCTGCGGCGGAGGGACTCGTTCATGGCCTCGCTCTCCAGGAGCTTCGTCCTGCGTGGGGGAGTGAGGGTGGGGCCGGGTGAGCGGCAGTGCCCTGGCCTGGCCTGGCCAAGGCCTCAGTGTTCCCAAAGACACTGGGGCGTTCCCAAGGCCACCGGGCTCACTCACCGGAGCTCCTCAATCTCCCGGATGTAGTTCTGGATCAGAGCGCCGATGGCCTCATTGCCATCACCTGGAGGGAGGAGGGGGCAACAGAGAAGATAAATAACAGTGAAGACCTCCTGCTCTAAACTGGTGGTCTTGTATCTGCGCCTCCAATAGGGTGGCACACATGGGCCTTTTCCAGAAAGGAATATTTGTCAGAGAAAGACTTGTATGTGTGCACAGAGATACACAAGCGCTGTTGGTAACAGCAGGAGATTGGAAATAACCTAAATGTCCTTCAATAGAGGGTCATTATAATAAATTATCCTTCATTATCATGTGTGGAACATCGTGCAGTTTAAAAGAATTAAGTAGGTTTGTATGTTTTAATACGTAAAGATCTCTAAAGCATAATCTGAGTGAAGAAGAGACGTCATAGGATAATTCATATGACCTCGTAACAGAAAAAGAAAAGTAGCTCACGTTCACACGCACATACAGACGCGTATGTGGGAATCTGCATCCCTACGTGGAGCAAACGTACTGAGAAAGGAGCAGGACAACGTGCCCGCGGCTACTTCTAAGAAAGAGAGGACATGGGGTGGACAGTCAGGGACATAGGATTTTGACCTTTCACTTTATATACGCCTGTTAATCAAGGAGGATGGATTCTTGTATTACTTGGGTCATTAAAAAAGAAGTTTCATAATTAATTTAAAAAATGCATAAATGAATTGATCTGTGAATTGACTGGCTGGCCCAGCCCGCCCCATACCCTGGGGTGGGTGTGGGGAGAGGGGCCCCAGCCGGGCGGTGCTCCGAGCCGGCCTGCTGCACCCCACTCACCGGCCTTGGCCAGGAGCAGGCTGGCCTCCTGGCTCATGAGGTGGGTGACGCGGTTATTGATGGCGTCAATGGCCTCCTGCATGGCCTTCACCCGCAGACGCAGTGCCCCGTTTTCCTTCTGCAGCATGGCGTTCTCCCGGAACAGGTCACTGTAGCCCTCGGCACCATCCTCCCCAATCACCCGCTTGCCCTGGAAGGGGAGGGCGGGGGCAGTCAGGAGATGGAGCTCCTGGGGAGGGGAGGGAGTGACGGACAATGCCCCCACCGCCACTGCCCTGGCCTTTCCCTTGGCATGGCAGCATGTGGTCTCCCCCTGCCCCAGACACACACACACAACACACAACACTGTGTTTGCGTCTCAAAACACAGCTCCTGTCTCCCAATGCTCAGAAACCTTACATGGTTCCGCATGACAACAAAAAAGTCCAAAATTTGTAACCAGCCACTCCAGGCCTCCCACAACCTCACCTCCACCCATCTTTCCACTGCTCGCCTTCATATCTCTGTAAATGCTAACCCAAAACCCTGTGGGAGTCAGGCCATTGAAAGAAACGAGTAAGTCAGCCTGAGTGTGAGACAACAGGGAGCGGTGGGGATGGGAGCAAACAGAGTCCCAGACTCCGTCTAAAAGGGGCAGCCACTGTGCCAGTCCAGCCAACCTAGTGCCATATGTTGTTAGATCTTCAAATTTTTAAAGAAAAACCTGGAACTTCCTAATTTTGAGAAAGGTTGACAACTAAGTTGCATTCTTTTAAAATAGAGTAAGACAAACCAAAACCCACTTGTGTGCCAGATTTCAGGCCATGCGCCAACAGCCTGAGTCACATGGAATCAGACACTTCCCCCACAGCACCCATTTTTCCTATCTCTGTTCCTTTGTGCTTGGCTTGTTCGCATCCTGGAACACTGTTCTCCTTCCTTTTGCTGAAATCTCATTCATTGGTCAAGATGCATACAAAAGGCCCCTCCTCCATGAGGCCATCCCTGACCACCTGAGTGAGTAGGGCCAACTCTCTCCTCTGCCCTCCCCCCAGCACACTGGACCACTCGGGCAGTCCCCATCAACTGTTCTTAGTCTGTACTACAGTCTAGGAGGCTCATCTGGTCCAACACAGCGTGTTCAGCAGACATGAAAACACCCAGCAGAGTCTGTCCTGCGCGTCAGATCTATGCAACGCAAGCCACGTGCCCTTCTTTCTCCTAGTACTGCACAACCCCGAGGGCTCCACCTGCCCGATTCACCGGCGAGAGCCTCTGATACTGAGCGTCACGGCTGGCACACAGTGACGCTCAGGAAATGGGAGAAGGGGAGAGTGCTGAGGAACGGGGCCGCGGGGCTGGGGGCGTGCTCACCGCCTTGTACTCCATCAGCTCCATCTGCAGGCGCGCGATCTCGGCCCGCAGCGCGCTGATCTGCTGGCTGGTCTTGTCCTGGTTCACCACCACCTTGTTCTTGATGTTGCGGGCCCGATTGGCGTATTTGAGTGTGTTGAGCGTCTCCATGAAGTCGCGGTCTGAGGGGCTCACGCAGGCGATCATGATGGTCTGGCTAGGGGTGCGGCCGGGTGAGTGAGGGACCCGGGCCACCGCCAGCCCCAGAAGCATCGCCTCAGAGCAGAGCTCCGGCTCCCACCCCTTCCCCACTGCCTGACGCCCCAATGACCTGGCATTCACCAGGGAAGAACCAGGACATGGGGATCCCAACCACCTGGCTGCGGGGTTCCTTCCCACAGTGAAGGCGGCTGTGGGGTCAGGAGGTCGTGACGTGTCATCGCCAGAGCCACGCCCCGCATCACCTTAGCTCTTCCCACCTATCACCCCACTGGGCTCTATCCCTTCCTTCAGGACTCTCTCTCTCTGTTGTGCAGACAAGGAGACTGAGTTCGACCGTTATCGGCCAAAGGTCACCTCCAGGTTCCTGTCTCCCAAGCCCACAGCCTGGGGTGGGGGGCCTACCTCGTCCACCCGGCCCTCATGCTCCAAACCCTCACGTCAGATTCTCCGGGAAGCCTGCCTCCCGCCCTCGCTGGACGCTGGCTGCCGGGTACCTGTTGCCCCCCAGCGAGTCCTGGAGGAGCCGGGTGAGCTTGGAGTCTCTGTACGGCACGTGCACCACCTTCTTGCTCTGGTCTCCCAAGGCGCTGATCACGTTGCCCAAGGCCAGCTGCGGGAGACAGACCCCGGCACTTGAGAGGCACTCAGGGAGGGAGGGTGGGGACAAGATGATCCCCAGCCGTCCGAGCCTGCCTTGCTGACCTCAGCAGCCCTCGGGCTCCCGGGGAGGGTTTATAGGTAGATGTGATAAATTGGGGAAGTCAGGGATGGGGGGAGGGTGAAGGACCAATGGCCTAACAGTAGTGACACACAGGTGCTTGGGCCGGCAGCTGGTCAGAGACCAAGGAGGACTGGGCAGCCGTGGGTCATGGGCCTTGGAAGGGTCTGAGCTGTGCTGGCTGCTGAGGTGGGCCCTGCCATGTGCCTACCAGGCCACAGTTGATGGAGATGCCCTCCTTGGCCCGCTCGCCGGTGGCCCCTGTCCGCTTCAGCCGCTCGGAGCCGGCCAGGTCCACAAAGTGAAACTTGGCCGTGAGCGTCTCATACTCACTTGTAGGAGCCGTGCCCTCGGGCATCCCGGCCACTGCCTCATTCACCTGCAGCAGAAGTTGGTACCTGAGTCGCCAGCCCCCGCCCCCCCTTGCTGCTCCTCTGCTCTCAGCCCTGCCCCGCAGTAATGCTGTCTACAGACACCGCACCCCTGCACACGCAGAGCATCTGCCAGCTCACACAGTGCTTGCACATGCCTGATCCTCATTTAATCCTCCCAACGACAGAGGTATGGTCACCCTATTGCACAGAGGAGGTAACTGAGGCTCAAGAGAACAGAAAGAGAAGGATCAGCAAGTGGCAGAGGCAGCCCCATGGCTCCTTTCTCCGCCTGCCCTCCGAGGTGCCCCCATAACACCCGGCTCCTGGCCCGTGGTGCCTCACCAGGTCGGGCTGGGTGCACAGGCGCATCTGGCACACGTGGATGGTGAAGATGGCGTGGGAACGGGAGCTCTGCACGTTCATCTGGGTGCTGGCCGTGGTGCGCGACAGGGCCCCCTGCTTCAGGCACTGGATCAGCTGGGGGGGAAGCAGGAGTGAGGACTGGGTGGCGTGGGCCGGCCCTGCCCGCCCTGGAGTCCCGTGGACACGCACCTCCTCCTGGGAGCTGATGAGGCGGGAGGTGACGCCTGTGGTGTAGATGCCCCCGTTGGCGTCCTCATGGATCTTGATGTTGGACCTACGGTGGCGGGCGTCAGGGTCGCGGGTGCTGTCGAACAGGTCCAGGATCTCCTCGTTGTAGAGCTGTGCGGGAGGGGACAGTGCTGGGTTTGCGCGGCACATGGCGCAGGGCCCCAGAGGGCTTTCTCCTGTTTATAAACCTGCTCCATCTGCAGATGTGACACTGAGGCTCCGGGGGGTCGACTTGCCAACCCTGCCCCCTCTGGGTTCTGGATTCCATGATCTTTCTCCTGGACAGGTGGGGGCAGCTGGGCCTGGGCAGAACTGTTCTGAGGTGCTGCTCGCCACGGAACCAGCATTCAGCAACTCTCATGCTGGCAGGGGGCTAAGGACCTAAGGGTGACAGGGGCTCGGGTCCTAGATGTAGATGAGGAAGATATGACCATAATTTGGGCTGCTCCGATTATGTTACCAGGCTGGGAAAGAGGCGGGTGGACGCAGTTCCAGATGAGGGTGGGGACGAGCAGGGCTCAGTGGAGACCATGGGAGCCACGCCCTGATCCCGATGGTCCCTGGGGGTCAAGGTGACGACAACCCCCCCATGTTGGGGCATGAGGGCATGGAGGACGTCCCACCGTGGGGAGGTGGCCCCCATTTCAGATGGTCTCGGCCTTGAAGATCCCTGTGTTGGAATCACTGGCAGGGAAAGTGTCACCTGCTGGAGGGCTGGGAGGTTCCCCAGGCAGGGAGCTGGGGCTGGGAGCAGGAATAGGGATAGGGCAGGTGGGTCAGCGGCCAAGGAATCCTGTGGGGGGGAAGGGGAGGCTGCAGCCCTGGTCATCTGAGGCTTTGATGGCCTTAAAGAGACAGAAATACCCCACAGGAAGGGGAAGAGGAGATGGAAGGGACTGGTGCAGACCTGGGTGCCACCTGTCTGTCTGCTGGGACAGACACATAGCATCATTTAACCCTGGAGGTCCACCCTTTGGCATGTGTTTTCTAGGAACTGGCCTGCGCTTTGGGGATCTCCATGGCAACAGAATGGAGAAGGGAAAACAACGAGATGAGAAAGCTTATAGAAGTACACAGCAGTGGGACACACACACACAGAGGTGGTCATTTCATCAGAAGCGAAAGTCCAGAAGGACAAAGAAAAACTCTCAGTGTATACAGGGTCCCCTAAGGGGAGGTCAGCCGCCCTGTGTGCCCAGGAGGGAACGCCTATGGGGCAGTGGGCAGGACGGGGCCTGGAAGCCCTAAGGGGGCTGGGCCCACTTCCCTCCCTCAGAAGATAAGCTGGTACAGTCAGAGCACAGGGCGTGTGGGGTGAGAGCCCAGGGTGGCTCCATGCCCAGCACATGCCCCAGGTCTAGAGGGTCTCTTGGTTGGGGATTCAGATGCTGAGAACTGGAGCCGCTTGGTTCAAGTGTCCTAGAGGAGGAGGCCGGTCGAGTCAGGGTGCTCAGGAGACGTATCCAGGTCCACCGCCTTCCTGGAGACCCTTCTGAAAGGCCCCTTTACAGGCCACAGGTCCCCTCTGCCACCCCCAGAGCCCCTAGCTGCCACAATCCGCAGCCTCGGCACACTGACATGCTCCCAGAGAGTGGCAGGGCCAGACGCAAAGAAAGGCCCCTTCTGGAGGACTTTCCTGTCCTGGGGTCAGAGAAGACTCAGAGGGTCAGGAAGGACATCAGCCAGGAAGAGACAGGGCAGGCTGCTCTGAGGCTGGGGGGGACCAGGGGAGGCAGAAGGACAGGCGAGAACCAGAGTTCTCACTATGTGCCAGGCATGTGCTTCCGTGTCATCCTCACAACCCCTAAGGAAAGAGACGTTATTCCCCCGTTCTGCAGCATGGTGAAATGACATGCCCAATGTGACACGGTGAATAAGTGTCAGAGCTGAGAATCAGTTAGGGTTTGAAGAGCGCCTACAGGTTCTCATTGACTCAGGCCCCTCCTGATGCAGGAAACCCCTTCAGAGTGTCCTACCAAGTGGTCTTCCAGCTCTTGCTTGGATATTTCCAGCAGCAGGGAACTCATCACCTATAGAGGCCTCCATGGCTCCCTAGGCTCATTCCGCCACCCTAGAGGAGAGCCCAGCTTCCATAGTCTTGCTGTCCCCCAAGTCTCCCTGCTGCCCAACCTACGAGGCCACAGTACCTCCAGGAACTGAGCGCTGACTTTGAACTCAGGCCCAGCCATGCCCTGCTCCTGTGCCCGCCGCTTGCGCTCAGCAATGCCCCCAAAGAGGTGGGCGATGGCCCTCGGAATGATGCCCTGCTCCTCCTCCGATGTTGCCATGTCGAAGCCAGTGCCCATGGTGTATGTCTTCCCGGCCCCTGTCTGCATTGGCAAAGGTGGAAGGAGGGTGTTATCCAGCATGCATTATCTCTCCCATCAGATGGGGGAGCCCAGGGTCAGAGGGGCCATTGTGGAGGGTGGAGGTGGCTCACCTGTCCATAGGCCAGCACCGTGGCATTGTAGCCCTCAAAGCAGCCCTCGATGAGCTTGTTCACACAGGTCGAGTAGATCTGCTCCTGCCAGGTGTCCAAGTCGAAGACAAAGTCATAGGTGAAGGCCTTGTCCTTCCCCAGAAGGACCTGGGGCTCCCCTGGGGTGACCGAGGTACAGATGTGACAGCCCTCAATCTTCTCCTTTGACAGCTGGGGCCGGATCCTGTCCGAGATGGGAGAGTCCCGGGTCAGCCCCAGCAGCCCCTCCCTCCCTCTGCCGGCCAAGCTTCCACCTCTCCTGGGCCCTTCCAGCCCCCACGAGCTGGAGAAAGAAGGACGCTTAGGAGCCCCAAGAGGACAATGGCAGCTGCTGTAATAACACAATAACAGTAATAATAATACCAACACCATCCAAGACAGCAGTTACTAACATTTATTGAGCAAGTATTTACATAAATGAATTCATGTATTCTTCACTGTAAACCTGTACAGTGCGAATTATTTGCCTGAGTTTACAGATGAGAAAATGGAGGCTGAGAGTTTAAATGACTTGCCCAAGGTTGTACATGAAACATGACAGAGCCACCCCAGGTCTGTCTGGCATCAGAGCACACATTCCAGATTGAACGGGGAGCCCCAGAAACCAGCCTCCCACAGGGCAGGGGAGAGAAGACAGCTTACCCCCTTCTAGGGAGGCGAAGCCCAGGACCAGGGTAGGGAAGGGAGGGATGGGCCTGGCTGCTCCCGCCAGGGCTAAGTTGTGGAGGAGACCAGAAGGCCTGTGGGGGCTGCAAGGGCCCTCCAGCTCAGGAGCCCCCTCCCAGATGCCAGAGCCTGGAGGAACATTCTCAGGCACAAGCTCTGGTTCCTCCCCAGGAGCTGAGGGGGTCGGACCAGGTCAAGTCAAACGTTTGCTGAGAAAGGCAGGGACCTGTGGAAGGGACACAGGCCAGCCGTAGGAGGGGCCCACGTCCCAGATCCTCGTGGGCTCCCTTATACAGAGGGAGAAAAGTGGTATCAGGGCACCACGGACAGGGTGGTCTCCATCTAGCCATGGACGGGGCTGTCTCCATCCAACCACCCCTTCTCCCTCTTCCAAGCAGCCATTGCCATGACGATGTCCCCATGACGATGTCCCCATGACAACCAAGTGTGAGTCAGCGAGCATGTGCGTTGTTGGGATTGGCCTCTAGAGAGCACCCCCCTAATGCCTAAAGGAGGGGTGAGGCATGAACGCTCAGGGCTCCCACAGCTAGCCCCTCACCGGGCACTCACAATGAGCTGCTTGTCAAGCTCCCTCTCCCTCGGCCAACATTTACCAAGAGAAGAAAAGATGAGAGGGGCGCCCAGCCGCAGAGCCAGGGCCTCCAAGTCGCCGTCCCTTCCCTGTCCCAGCTGCCCTGGCCCCAAGGCCCACTCAGAGCTCAGGCCAGTAAGCTGCTCACCTGGGCCTGTTCCTCGCACTTTGCTGTAGGGGTTAGAGGGACGGGGGAGGGGTGAGTCCCAGTGGTGGGGGTTCAGCTACACCAGGCCCCCTTCACGCCCACAGACGGTGGCCGGGGTTTTCTTCCGAGTGTCTCCTTTGGGCAGGAACAGGGCCTCACAGGTCACTGTCCCCTCCTGAAGGCTGACAGCAACGGAAGCCGGAGGAGGTCACCACCCTTGTCCATCCCACCCAGCTGTTCTGGGCCAGCTCCTCGGTCTCCCCGCTGAACTGGTTTCTGATGGGGAAGGGAGCAGCTGACTCTTGCTCATCCTCGCTGGACCTGCAGACCAGACACTTGACCAGTCAGCAGGACGTCAGGGCCAGCAATGCTGCTGCCTCGGCCCCTAGCAGCGGCTGCTGACACAAACTCACGCTCGCTACATGCAGGCAGTGTCTGAGCACTGGCGTGGACTAACTTTCCATCCTCACGACGCCACCTGCTGTTTGTAGAGGAGGAATGAGATGGTGCCCAGCTAGTCACAGACAGTGAGGGGCAGAGTAGGGTTTGAACCCAGCCTGCGTGTGTGCACTCTCTCTTCAATGATCCTGTACCACCGTGTCGCTAGGGGCAGGGCTCAGCGTGCCAAGGGGACAGGATGGCTCACATGCGCAGGAGAGAGCAGGCAGCAACCTCAGAGGAGGGCACGGCACCGTGCACAAGGCACTGGGCAGGAATCCAGAGCTTGAGCTCTCAGATGCGGCTCTGCCCCTGGGCCTGCAGGACCTGGGACCAAACACTGTGGCCCAGGGCGTCCAGGTGCTCCCAGGTGGGCAAGCTCTGAGGCCCCTCCAGCTTGGCTGGCAGGACCAGCTCCGGAAGACGCCCTCCCTCCCACGTGGGCTGCTTGCCACGGGATTTCTGGATCCAATTCAAATACCATTTAATTACCCCAGGCAGATGGCAATGCCGGTGATTGGAGGCAATCGAATCAGGATCCCTGGAGACAGCGGGCGCAGGGGTGGGGGAGCGGCGCCCTGTCTGTCAGAGCCCGTTGGCAAGAGGGGCAGCTTCTCCTTCAACAACCAGCCCCAGACCACCAGGGCCCACCTGCCAGGAACAAGTGAGCGAGCAGGGAGCAGTCTAGGGGAGAGGAGGTAGAGGAGGGGACTCCAGGGTTTTGGGGTCCAGGAGTTGTGGGGTCAGTCAGGCATTTCACCCTGGGCCCTCCATTGGCCCAGCACATTCTGACGTCGGGTCCTCCGTGGTCAGAGAGTCAGCCAGCCCCACGCACCAGGGTACTTTGCAGGGTGCAGATGGTGAGCAATGTTGCCCAGAGAAAAGGGTCACCAGCTGGGAGACGGGATATGGGCCCGGGATGGGTCACTAATTCCCAAAGCAACTGACCTCAGAGGAGGAGGGAGTGAGTACTGGTCCCAGGAATGGGGCTTGAGTGAGTAACTGGTGATGGAAGCAAAGGAGAATTAAGATTTCATGGATGCTTCCCATGCACCAGCGCTGGGCCAGGCACCCACCACGATGAGCAAGAGATGTCAATTTTCATTTTCCAGAGGGGAAAGCCGAGGCTCAAAGTGGTTAAGTTGCACACACAGTAAGTACAGTGAGGTTGGGCATCAGTTCCTGCTCTGGCTGACTATGGCTCGCAGGCTCTTCCACTTCTCCAGCTGCTTCTCACCCAGGAATCTCTCAAGCCCCAAATCAATAAACTTCCTCCAGCACCACCATTAGAGCCAGGAGGAGACCCGCCACATCCGGTCATGCCTGCGCCAGGCTGGGCACTGGGCTGGCCCTGCCTCCCAGAGCTCACAGTCCAGCCGGGCAGACATCGTGTCTCAGTGGTCCTGGGGCCCATTCCTCACCACACCCTGCCCAGCGGAGTATCTGAACCCATGCCCCACAGGCAGGAGACAAGAGGGTCAGGCGATAAAGACAAGGTCCCTGACAAGCCTCTGCCCCACCCTCCTGTGTCTCATGAGCCACTGCTTCCTCCTGTGTCATCTAGATGGTCTCTTCTGTTTTAACTTTCTAAGAAGTCCATCGCCCTCCCCTCCAGCAGCCTCCTCTCCTGGCCCCACCGTGGGTGGGTGAGGTCACTTCTGTGCACGCCCTCAGCCACCCTGCCCCGCCCCATATTAGGGGAAGGAAGAAGCTGCCGTTACACCAGGGTGACAAGGACGGAGCCACTCCTTGCCCTGTTCCTCCTGAGGGCAGGGGAGGGGGTAGTCCAAGTAGACCCTAGGAGCTGTGGACCAGACGTGTGTGAGGCATTCACCTCAAGTACAAAATTTAAGGGGGCATGAAAAAACTCAGTAATCTGGATAAATTACAATTTAATGTAATATTTGAAAAACTCAAGTTGCAGACTACGGCCGGCAGGCCAGCTGCCTGTTTTTGTCAATAAAGCTTAGTGGTCCAAACATCCAGTGTCATTTCTGTGCAGGCACCTCCTGAATCTCATCCACGGGCATCTCACCCCAGCCCCACCCCTCCAAAGCCCCCCTCCATCTCTTCTCCAGGTCCTGCAGGAGGGAGGGAGGGGGGCGGGCCGGTCAGCCCCACTCAGAAAGGCCCCGGCATCTCCCAGAACAGAGCCTGGTCTATCTGCCACTTGGCAACGGCAGGACTGAGTGGCGGTGGGAGCGGGCATGAGGGTGCAGAGAAAGCGCCCAGAGCCTTTCAGGGCAGGATCTGGCACAGCGCGGCGCTGAGCTTCCTCTGTTCACACTGAGCGGGGGCTCCTGTGATGTGGTTAGTTCTTCTAACATCCGTCCCCACCGCCAGAGAAGTGAGCGCATGGCCAGGGAGGAGACAAAGGCTGCGAACCGGAGCCTGGGGCTGCGGGAAGAGCTGAGCTCAGCGGTTCCTCGGCTCTTCGGGTAGCCAGGCGGACAGAGCGGAAGGGGAGGGCAGGGGAGACAGGGAGGAGGCAGGCCCCGGGGACGCTGCGAGACTGCCAAGGAGAAAAATTCCCTCTGCAGAGGGTAACATGCCCAGAGCCCCACACCCTACCCCATGGCTCAGGAGGAGAGGACGGAGCAAGCTCGGCCTCATCCCTACCCCATCCTCAGTGACATCACACAAAGACAGCCAATCAACCCCCAGGGGCTCCGCCCAGTGACCTCGGGCTCCTGCGGGGGCCTGGCTCAGCTTCTCAGGTGAAATTAGTCCCAACCCATCAGCTGGCAAGGGCCCCTCCTTTGGTTCCTAACTGACCTGCCCCCCAAATCTTTACCCTGAGCTCGTAAAATGCAGCCCCAGGCTCTCTCCATCTGAAGAGTCTTCCTTCTCACTGAGAGGTAACAGGCCATGATATTCACATAACTAACCAAGAACCGTTCCAGAATCTAGAGAATTCTTACAATGGTGTATGGTCTGTGATTCCTTTTTTTTTTTTTTTTTGTGGGGAAGATCAGCCCTGGGCTAACATCCATGCTAATCCCCCTCTTTTTTCTGAGGAAGACTGGCTCTGAGCTAACATCTATTGCCAATCCTCCTCCTTTTTTTTCCCCCCAAAGCCCCAGTAGATAGTTGCATGTCATAGGTTCACATCCTTCTAGTTGCTGTACGTGGGACTCGGCCTCGCGTTGGACGGAGAAGTGGTGCCTCGGGGCGCGCCCGGGATCCGAACCCGGGCCGCCAGCATCAGAGCGCGCGCACTTAACCGCTAAGCCACGGAGCCGGCCCAGGTCTGTGATTCCTGATCCTGTCTTTACTGGACCCTGGAACCCTACTACACCTCTGTTCACTCAACTTCCAGTTAGTAACACCACTGCACCCAGGAGCAAGGCTACCTCTTCACTGGACTCTGTCCAGGAAGCTGGGCACACAGTCATTACACAAATCATTCAGTGCTAAGGTGGGTGTTTTTGCCCCTAATTCACAAATTAGGGCTCAGAGAGAAATTAAATAGCTCAGCTCAAGGTCACATAGCTAATAAGTCACAAGGTCTAGGAAGGCCACCTTTACAGCCATCAGCCCAGGAGAGCTGGGAGGACCAGCATGCACGCAGCTGCCGCCCTGCGAGTAATTTGCACGTGGGGACTTCCAGGCTGGGGGACGCCCTCTCTCCAGGCCCGACCTCACAGGCTTTGAGAAAACCCAGACACCTGTACAAGAGTCACCCTTCAGATGGTCAAAACGACCATCAGAACTGGTTCCTTTGGAAAAAGCCCCAGGTGGGCTGAAAGCATCCCTGCTCTCTTCTCCCACGGGACCCCGAATGCCTGTGTGAAATCCTGAAAAGGAGCCCCCAGAGTCTAGTGGGACAGCCCAGGGAGGGATGGAGAAGTAAGGAAGCCCATGGTCCTGTCTCGTGAGCACCCGACCCTGAAGGATGAAGCAAAGGCAGAGTCCACGACCTCCCCTCCTGGCCTCCAGCCCATGTCGCCACACCTGGCCTCAACCACAGGCAGCAGGGGTAGACCAGAGCTCAGCTGTGTAGCCTCCATTGTGGAAGTGTGTGTGTGTGTGTGTGTGTGTGTGTGTGTGTGTGTGGCCAGGGACACAGAGAGGAGCCCCATGACCCCTGGTCTGCCTGGCACACTGAGTCACTTAGCCATGCTAGGACCTGCCAGGGACCAGCTCTTCCTCATCAGTGACAGAGCCAGATCAAACAGGAGCTCAGCTACAGCACAAGGGATGTAGATAAGCCAGCAAAAAGAACTTCCTGCCTGCAAAGACTGTTAAGCCCCGGAAGGAAAGCCGGGCGTCTAGGGAACCTTCTTCCTCAGAAATCACAGCCTCCGACGTCACTCCCGTCTCTTCTGTGCGTTCTCCATACTCACGCCTCATCTGATAAGGACAATACCTAATATTTTCTGAGAATCTGAGTGTCCGGCTCTATTATATACATGAACACCTGTAATGTGTTATGACAACCCTGTGAAAGGTATTTCCCCAATTTTCCGGAGCCTGAGAAAGGTGAAATTTAACAAGCCCAGATCCCATGATTCATAATGGTGGAGATGAAATTCAGACCCGACCCGCCTGAGCCCAGTCCCACTGCATCCGCTAAGCAACCCAGCTGGACTGGAGAAAAACAAGCCCTCGGAGAACCTCCCGACTGATCCCACGAACAGCTGCCAGCAGAGCCACGAGCCGCCTGCCGGAAGAGCATCCTTCCTATTTTGTAGTTAAGAAAGCTGAGGGCTGCAGCGTGAAGCACGGAGCGCGGAACCCAGGAGGCTGCCTCGCTGCCTGCTGGCGGCAGAAAGAGGACGTCCACACCCCCAGTTTAATGAGCATCGTCTCCTCCTCCCCTGGTGGCAGCCTGCCAGCGCTGGAGCAGACGGCTGGAAGCAGGACGCCCGCTCTCTCAGGGGAGTCTGGCTCCCAGACACCCGGGGGCTTTCAGCTGACTTAGCCCAGAGAGGGCATCTTCCCACAAAGGCCAGTCCTCGCTGAAACAGGGTGGGGAGACCCCATTTGGGGTGCTGGCCCTTTAGCTGCAGGGGTACAGCATGGCGAGAGCCCTCAGAGCCCTGGGACAGCCAGAGGGTCTTGCTGCCCTCCCACTGGACCTTCTCCTGGCCCCTCAGATCCTCCCCTAGGCCAGCCCTCAGGGAAAAGACCTGGGCTAGCTCTGAACCCCAAAACACAGCTTTGTGCCATGGAGTCAAAGGGCATGGGTTTATGAGGCCCCAGTGGGCCTGGTGAAAAAGATCTGTCAACCGTCTCTGCCTGACTTCTGTCCTGGAACACATCCCCGAGAGCAAAGGGAGGGGTGCAGACACTCCAAAAAAACCTACAGGAAGCCTTGGGGTGACAACTCAGGGTGTCTGGGGTTCAGGAATCTGAGCCCACTCCCCCCTCGGGGCATGGCCTCGACCTTTCTCTTTCAGTTCATCTCAGTCCTGGCCACTGACCCCTGAGTAATGCCCAGGGACAGGCGGTGCAGCAGGGGCAGGCCCCCCGGCATCAGGATCTCAGTTGCACCCCAGGGCAGCCCCCAAAGGCTGAAACCAGGCTCGGGGAGGAAGCGGCAAGCAGAGTAGGGTGACACGTCAGAAGTGGGGGTGGGGATGCGAGTAGGAGCTGAGAGAAGGGCCAGCTCAGTCGCAGACCAGGGGCCAGGACCCAGGCCTGGCTGCGGGCAGCAGACAGGAGCTTCCCGAGCCACGGGTCTGACTGTCGCTGGGGCCTGGGCAGAGAGGCGAGCCCAGCTCAGGGAAGCACTGCTCAGCTGTGCTCCAGCATCACTCTCGCCTCCCACCCCCATCGCGGGGCATCTGGCAGGGGTTTCCCATGACCTCCCGGGAGACGTCGCAGAGCAGGGCTGAGCCGGGAGCGCCCAGAGCCCAGGGCTGTGATCGCATCTGCAACTGGTGGGGGACAGCTCAGTGGGACTGGGCCCTGGGGACCTCCCCTGCTGAGGAATGCAGAGCAACAGGCGCCTGGCCTGAGAGCAGCTGGCTGTGGAGGGCAGCGAGCCTCTCCCACCACACTGGCCCTGGTCCCCAGTCCCCGAGGCCAGGCTCTCCTCTGTGCACCTGAACTGCAGCCTCAGGCAGGACCAGCCAGCCTAGAGAAAGGACAGTCGGCCTCCACCACAGCTCTGATGCTGGACTTCCACCGAGGAAGGCAGAGGGGTAGGGACTCAGCCAGAAACCAAATTCCAGGACAGCTGCAGGGATCCAGGGACAGGAGGATGGAGACTCATACCCAGCGGAGATTAGACGGGGAAGCTCCCCAAACACAAGAGGGAGCAGCACGGATTCAGGAGCTAGGACCATGGTGGGGACAGGCAGCCCCCTGCTAAGCAACCCCATAAAGGAAAGTCCGGACGCCTCACCTTGCCACATGTGTGCACGGCTCTGAATGCCCTCCT